CCCCCCCCCCCGCCCTCCGGGGGGTGTCAGTCTCTGTGTCCGGGCCTCCCCTTCATGTTCCCTCCATCCCTGTGAGGTTTCAGTGTCCGGGCCTCAGATTTCCCCCATGCCCCTTAGTAGGGTGTCAGTGCCTGGGCCTCCTCTCCAGATTCCCACCACCAGCCCCAGTGGTGTGTCGGTGCCCGGTCTTCCTCTCCAGCTTCTCCCACCCCCAGTGGGGTGTCAATGTCTGGGCCTCCTCTTAGTTGTCTGGCCTGGGGCCTCAGTGTCTTCCTTAGGTCTTCCCTCCCAGTTGTGCCTAGAAGGTGTTTCTGAGCCAACATTACCCTTGCCTTTTAATTCCCCCCCCCCCCAGTCTTCCCTTCTGACTTCTTCCCCCCCACCCACATCACTGTCCAGGCAGAAGTGTCTCTTCTCCATTTGGTCGTACCCCACCATGATGTATTTTGATGTGTGTGCTCTCCCCCCCACCCAGTGGGGCATCACATTGGTGCCAGGACCTCACACCCTCCAATATAACACTAACACTCACCCTTCCCCCCACCTCTGTCTGTTTTCACTGTCTGTGCTAAGAAATCCAATCCTATCAACATATGGAAATGGCTCTAACCAACCTTAACTGTGTCCTGTATTGACACCATGAGGAAAAACAAAGAATACCCCACAGTATAATTAAAAATCACTTTAATTTAATCTGGCACAGCACATACTAAAAGGTTCAAGTTAAGGTTGTTTCGGTGTTTTAATTATGCATTTCTGTGTTTGGATTTCTCGATTTCCTAGGTTTGTAATGCTTGTTTTTGGTGTAGCTACTTCCACCTTTTCATGTTCTCTGTATGTATAAATATCTTCTTTCTGTGTGTTCCATTCTATGCATCTGATGAAGTGGGCTGTAGCCCACGAAAGCTTATGCTCAAATAAATTTGTTAGTCTCTAAGGTGCCACAAGTACTCCTGTTCTTTTTGTGGATACAGACTAACACGGCTGCTACTCTGAAACCTGTGATATCCCTTGAATGTGTGTTTTACCCTTAGTTACGGGTACATACTCTCAATCTTATCTGCAATTAAACATAATTTTTATCTGGAAATAGTGTTGTCAGGGCTGGCTTTAGCAAGAACGGGGCCTGATTCCGGGGGGCGGGGCTTGCTGCAAGCCCTGCCCCCAGGAATCGAGCCGCGCTCCGGCCGGGGTTGCCGGGCTTGGGTCCGGGCCAGTGCCGCGCCACGGGGGCCGGGCCGGCCCGGAGCCGAGCCGGAGCCGCGCCGAGCCGGAACCGCGGGGGCTGGGCTGGGGCCGGGCCGGGCCGGACCCGCGCCGCGGGGGCTGGGCCAGGGCTGGGCCAGACCCAGGCCACGCCGCGGGGGTCTGGCGTGCTCGGCCGGAACCGGGGCTGGACTGGGCCGCGCCTCCCCGGAGCCCTTCTCGCGCCCCCCAGCTTACCTGGTGCTGCCTGCCCGCCCCTGCTTCTTTTCAGACTTCCCGCGAACCTCTGATTCGTGGGAAGCAGGGGAGGGGGAGGAGCAGGGGGCGGAGCGTTCAGGGGAGGGAAGGAGGGAGAAGTGAGCTGAGGGCGGGGTGGAGAGCTGCGGCGCGGGGCCCAATTCAGCCGAATCGGCTGAATTGGCCTAAAGCCGGCCCTGAGTGTTGTTTTTTTTAAATTAAAGATGTCATGCCTGAACACTAAATAAGAAACTCAAAAACACATGCTACCATGTGATATCTCCAGTGAGCTGAATATCAACCTTAAACTTACATTTTTATTTTAACTTCTGTGACCTGATTCACCAGTATGTTCTGATTGTGGTGTTGCTCTGGAGCCTCATAAAGCAGCTAGCACTCATTTAAGATGAGTTTACATGTGCTTTGCATAACCAGAACAGCACAAAGTAGCAGGAGTGCACTGGTGAATCTGACCTTTAATTTGCAGGTGACTTATTGGTTTAGTTATCTGGAATTATAGGCCAATTGTTTGGTTTGTATTTTGTCATTTTATTTCTTTACACATATATAGGCAAAACTACAAGGTAAACTTCCAGCATATGAAACTGTCATAGCTGAAAAGGAAGATATTATTCATTTCTTTAAAATGTTGGTTGTGAAACTCTGGAGTCAGACTGGGCAGCAAGGGGGTGTAAAATAGGTGAGAGGGGATTACTGGGGATGTGGGGAAATGGCAGAAAAGAGTTCTCCCAGGAAGTTAAAGTGGCTAAGCAGGGATATATAGGGAGCTCAGGGATTTAGTGGCGTGGTAGTGGGGGGAGGCCAGGGGCTGTGGTGTAGGACAATTAAGTGTAGTGTTGTGTTTTTGGAAAACCAGGGGTATACACTTGGCAGGAATCTGGATTGGATAGCCCAGGCCATCTTTCTTCATTGACCTCTTCACATCTCTGCTAGTGCACATGGCCATTTTTTCTCCCTTTGGCTCTCTACAGTGCTGTTTTCTGTGGTTGGGGGGGACCTGAGGGGCTGCAGGGATTCAGGAGGAGCTAGTTGGAGTGTTGGGGGGGAAGCAGGTATGTGCATGAGCTTGGGGAAAGAAAGGTTGTGTGTGGGGGTGGGAACCATGTTAAGAAGACCAGTGCTATGAAAAAGGGAGGGCCTGAGATGGGGTGGTGGATGGAGACCAGTCTCGGAGTGTTTCTGTACTTTCAGGACTCCCCTGTGCTCCTACGTCAGCTGCCCTGGCAGTGCTACCATGGTGGAGCTAAAGCAGCAGTGCCCCAGAGGAACATTTCAAGCATTGATGCCTACTAGCATAGGGCCATTGAACTATAAAGAGCAATGGCATTTGGAGACAAGCAAACCAGTGAGAACTCTTGCTATGACTCATCTTCCCTAAGAGGAAGTTGTCTGATATCATGGTTTCCCCAGCTAACAGTGACCTGAGCTGTTGACCACTGTTTTTGAGCAACAGTCCATAGTCATAATCCTAGATCCTACAACTCCAACCATGCAGGTGGACCTTTAACCCCCATTGTATGAGGGGGCCACGTCGAGGGAGAACACAGTATTCCACAAGCCAAACGTTTCATGGACCAAGTGTATAAATATCCCTGCTGGAGCAGTCACACAACCAAGAAAGGGGAAAAAAAGTTTGTTTTGTTAGCAGAACTATTTGCAAATAGCGGTTAAATAGCATGGTAGTTAGAACATTTTGTTTATATTTGTAATTCTTAGTTGGATGTGCAGTTTTCTATGCTGTTTATCAGTTTTAATATTTTTGTATCAAGGGGGTTTTGAAACTGACTCAGGATTTAGAGTACCTCATCTACATTATGGCCCCAACTGGTTTTAAAATATGTTTAGTTGAGCTGGTTTGAAAAACAGAATTTTGTGTAAGGGTGTATGGGTTTTCAAAACAGACCATGGAGTTTGATCCCCTGGTGAAACAATTTTTTAGAAGTCTTTGAGTCAGTTGCTGTCATTGCCTGACTTTTTTCCAAAGCCCTATAGCTATTCTTGGGAGGTGAAGTTGCTCATCCTCTTTGTCAAAAGAGCTATTAGCTACTTCTTAGAGAAGACTAAGGTGTTTTATGCTAGAGAAGTTGACTGTTCTAAGAACTTGTTTTACCTCCTACAGTGCTTGTGAAACACGTCACGTTCGTACACAAGTGCTTCAACTGGTTTTCTGGTGTTCTGAGAAGCAGTTGAAGAAGACTTGGATTTCAGCAAATTTGAGAACCTGTTCAAACTAAACTGATAAGTCTGCTAATGTGGATGCAGGCAACCCGAAACTGCTCCTCCCACTGCTAACCCACCATGTCTCTATTCTGTTTTATAGTGAGATGTCCCTTGTGCCTTTTACTTACCACAGAAACAGGGGTCTCAGTTGTGGAATCTTTAAAGTTATTTACTTGTAATTTTGCTGCTTTGAAAATTCCCGTGGGGTTCCCTATCACAGCCTCACCTGCCATCAGACTTCGGGGATCTGTTCTAAGCTGGGGCCTTGTTCTCAAAGTCTTGTTTATCTCCATTGGAGAGCATTGTCAAATGTTCTCATTGAGAGTTGTGTATTATACCCCTTCCCCTACCCTGTATCTGTCTTGTCTATTTAGATTGGGGCAGAAGCCATCTGTGTTTATACAGCACCTAGCACAATGGGACCCCGTTCTTGGTTGGCCTCTGGGAATTACCATAATAAATATAATTAATAATATTAAATTTTGACTCAATACCTGGGGGTGCTCTCTACCATGTAAGTTGCAGTCTCAGTGTAACATATGTCCAGAGCGTCCTTATCTGAAATTTTTAAGGCTGCTAAATATTCAAAGCACAATTTCATAAATCTCCATTTTCTCGACATGGTATCAAGAACAGATGCTGGTTTTGGGAAGGCAGTGCTGCAGTCACTGTTTAAGCAGCAGGAGTCCTCAGAAAGGTCAGTGCTAGTTAGTCTTCTGTGGAGTCTGTGTGGAGACGTCATGACAGAGACGTACTTTACCGTCTTTCCTTCACTCTGCTGTGTAGCTCAGATACAAATAATGTTTCAGTAGGTAGAGAGGACCTTAAGGACTGGTTAGAGGAGTTGGGTGTTTATAACCTCAGTGGTAGCATTACACATTTCTGTGATATGTACATTCTGTAAGCATTGCTACAGATCCAAGATCTCTGTACTCCCTTCCTCTATTTTGAGGGTGCCTCTGGCCATTTTTCTGGTCTCAATTCCTAGTATTCAGTTTGGCTCTTCCTCTTTCGTGGATGGTGTAGTTCCCCCAGTGCAGATGCCCTCTGTCTTCCACATGGTGCCCATTCCTCAAAAGAGAGGTATGTTAGTGTTTCTTTATGGGTCTAGACCATGTACCTGGGTTTCTTCGTTCAGCCTCAGTTCCAGGGCTGTCCAGGTCAGTCTTGGGGCCGTATGGGATGAGCTTGGAAGTTCATCTGCACAGCTCCTGAGAGATAGGGACTTTAGTTCCTCCATGTTGTTCACTTGGGTTCCACTAGAAGCTAGTTCTTCAGGGCTGTTCAGGCCTCTTCGTGTAATTTTTTTGTAGGCTCCCTTTCCGAAGGCGGTCAAAGCTGCTAGAGCTGACTGGTGAAACTGCTTTCCCCTCCCAAGCACTTCATTAACTCCTTGCTTTTTATACAGCACTACTTGATCTGTATGTTTCCCCCCATTTAACTTAGATTGGTAAGGACCTCTTTCAACATCCTTGGCATCGGAGGACTGTAATGGTATGTCTACACGACAGCTGGGACTGAGCCTTCCATCCTGGGTAGACAGACGCATTACTGGTGTAGACATTGTGGCACAGGCGGCAGCACGGTCCGTCTGTCTGAGTACGGATCCAGGGGGTTGGGCAGTCTTGTTCTCCGACAGCTAATCCACGTCACAACATCCACACTGCTATTTTTAGCATGCTAGCTCTGGCAGAGCTACCGCGTGTCTGTCTACCCAGGCTGGAAGGCATGATTCCAGCTGCAGTGTAGACATACCAGAAGAGGCCAGCTGAGAACCGGCTTCTTTATACTCACTCCTCTGCCCCTCGTAACAGGGCTAAGATGCAACTACCACCATCCATGTTATCTCCCATTTTGGAACTTCAGTTATTGCTGGCCAGCATCCACAATGACCTGCCAATAGCTGATATGAATCAGTCCTTTGACCACAAAGTTGCAGTGTTTTCTCTTTCTCCTGATAATCTGCATCTCTCACCTCCTGATGACGACAACTTTCGGGGAGTTGCTGGTTTGGTTGAGTGACTCTTTAGAGCTGGGTACAACAACAGCCAAGAAAAGACTTATCTTTTGATAAATTGTAGTTTAAGGGAAAAGGAAAAGTGACCTCGACTTTCAGTTAAAGTTTGTTGAACACTGGTCAAGGTATTTAGTGGATTCCAGCATCTGTGCCTGCTGTCACTAAAGAGGCAGATAGTGTGAACCAGGCCCCAAGCAGCTATTCCTATACCTGTATCCTGGTTCTGTAGTGCAGAGATGGGTAACTTTAAGGTAGTAGAGGGGCACAAAATCCCCTAAAATCCTTTGCGGAGCCAAACATTTTTTTTTTAGAGCAGGGGTGGGCAAACTACAGCCCAGGGGCCACATCCGGCCCTCCAGACATTTTAATCCGGCCCTTGAGCTTCTGCCGGGGAGCAGGGTCCAGGGCTTGCCCCGCTCCAGTGCTCCAGCCGGGAAGCGGGATCGGGGATTTGCCCCACTCCGTGCGGCTCCCAGAAGCAGCGGCATATCCCCCCTTCTGCTCCTACACGTAGGGGCAGCCAGGGGGCTCTGTACGCTGCCTCCACAGCTCCTATTGGCTGGGAACTGCGGCCAATGGGAGCTGCAGGGGCGGTGCCGGCGGATAGGGCAGTGTGCAGAGCCACCTGGCTGCACCTCCATGTAGGAGCCGGAGTGGGGACATGCCGCTGCTTTTGGGAGCTGCTTGAGGTAAGCACCACCCGGAGCCTGCACCCCTGACCCCCTCCCACACCCCAACCCCCTGCCCCAGCCCTGATCCCCCTCCTGCCCTCTGAACCCCTCCGTCCCATCCCGGAGCAACCTCCTGCACCCCCAATACCTCATCCCCAACCCCATCCCAGAGCCCACACCCCCAGCCGGAGTTCTCCCTGCACCTCAACCTCTGCCCCAGCCCAGAGCCCCCTCCCGCACCCTGAACTCCTCATTTCTGGCCCCACCCTAGAGCCCGTATCCCCAGCCAGTGCCCTCACCCCCTCCCGCACCCCAACCCCAATTTTGTGAGCATTCATGGCCCACCATACAATTTCCATACCCAGATGTGGCCCTCAGGCCAAAAAGTTTGCCCACCCCTGTTTTAGAGGATACATATTGCATAACTCAGAAATGTGTGCTACACTACAGCATATTAGCATACAGTTAATGGTGTATTACCAATATAAAACTGAAGTGGTCTTAAATATAAAAGTCTCATATAGCACAACCTTTATATAATAATTAGAAAATAAACAATAAAACCCTACAACAGTTTAAACACATTTTTCACTAACCTTTTATTCACTGTGCAGAAGAGCCAGGGTTTAGTAAATGAAAATAACAAAAAAACAAACCCATCTTAACATTTTTTCTCTGCTGCTTATCGTTGTTACAGTATCTTGTCAGTCAGTGCAAAACTTAAAGAGTGAGCCTGTATGCACACTGAGGTGTATATGTGTATCAATTTTATTGCATCCAAGCTGCATAAGATGGAAGAGTGTTTCATTTGTCAGTTGGTTCCTTTCCTTTGATTTCATATGAATCAGTCTGGAGAAGTCACTTTCACAAATGGGTTCTCCCAAAGAGAAAGCACAATTTCAACACCTACTTTCTCAGATTTGGGAAATGGGACTCAGTAAGCAGTTTCCAAAACTGAGTGTCCCTTTTATTCTTCTCTGCAACAAAGAAAGGTTCTGCAGTTCGTACAGTTGTAGTTGCAGTTCAGAAGGCTGGTCATTGACAACAGCTGCAAGTGGATCATTAAAAAGCATCAGATGAGGTTGAAAACTTTCAAAATGCTTAAAATGTTCATTGAAATTGAGCAACAGCATTTCACTGTTAGTATTGTTCCTGCTAAACTCTGATTCGCACTCTTGCAGTTCTGATGTATGTGCATCACATGTTGTAAAGTGGGCAAATTCAAATGTAACAGGTGAGTGTTAATAAGTGCGAACTTGCTTCAGAACCCATCCATGTGAGCAACGAGGTCTGATGCAGTCTAGTCGATGTCTTGCAGTTGCAGATTCAAACAATTCAGGTTATGTCTCTCAAAAATGCTGTATAACACAGAAAAACTGAATCTTCCAGTTTTTCCTGAAACTTCGTAGTATCAGAACTCTGCCTTTCAGAAAGGTGACACTCTGTGTTTTTTGTTGGAAAGAATCTCACGAGGCATTTTCCATGGCTTATCCATCACACTTCTCTGTATAGCTCCAAATTGTCCTACTATGCATCCACTTCATCAAGAAAGGCTACTATTTGTGATGGCTGAGTGATCTGTTTGCACCTCGTATTATGTTTGTAACTTTCATGACCACATTTATGATGTGATTAAAATACAGCGATTTTCCACACAGCGACTCTTGATGAATAATGCAGGGCAGAGTTGGGCAGTGCTTCAATAAACCTGGAAACCCAGCCCTTGAGCCATGCATAGCAGGTGCTCCATCTGTTACAACAACCAACAACTTTTTACAATCTCCAAAACCTGCAACAGCTTTCTGAAGCACACCAAAAATATCTGGACCCTTTGTTGTTCTGTGTAATGAGGCTAATTTCATAAGTTCTTCATGACATGCATGTTAAAATTACTATCAGTTGTCCATATGTATATCATAGCTGACTTACATTTGACACAGCTGTACTGTCGTCTAATGCCAAAGAAGAAACAATCAGGCATGATTTTCTTTAACTTTCCTTCTACGTGTTCATGGATATGTGAAACTCTTCACGAAACTGTACATAGCGATACTGTTTTGAATTTTTTTTTGCCATTTTGTCATCACCAAACGCCTTTCCCATTTGCACTGCACAGTCTTTCACTCTTTCACTCTCATGCAGTGGCTTTCTAGCCCATGCCATCTCAAGAGTGGCAAGATATGATGCAGTAAAACCCTAAGTTTGTACTGGTGTAACTCTAGCAAAACAACTCTGCTGCTTTAAAACTTTGCCTTTTAGATAAGCCACAGTGGCTTATCCCTGCATGTATTTCATTATTTGCTTTGTGATTGGTGCTGTGGTGATTTTTCAAGTGATATTCATTTCATTGTCATGACTTGCAAACATATGGGACATTGGGGCTTACCTCCATTTTAAGTACAAAGATATTCACGCTCCCACTGTGCATGGGCGACTTAGTGTTCTCTATCTTTCTTTTACTCATGATAAACTGTAAAGGCAGAAGAATCAGCCACTGGTGTCTCAGTGAGCCATTTCCTACCTCACTCATAGCACAGCAGACAGAGTCCTGATGTTTCAGGGTATTGAATTTCCTTGTGTTCAGCATACATGCAACCCAAAGAAGTGCACAACCATTCTCTCTAGCAATCAGTCTTCCATATTGAAACAAGCACTTGATACCCACGGTATGTTTATCACAGCTCCCCCACCACCAAAAAAAAAGGTTGAGAAATAAGAAATGTCATTGCAGAATAAATAATCTCTTAACTGTTAGTGAGCCAAATAAAATGACTTGGTGGTCCAGATGCGACCATTGGGCTGCAGGTGACCCATCCTTGCTTTAGGTGTCTAAGTTTGGTATCCGGTACTTCCTTTGCTTGACTATCTTTTCGAGGAGCAAAGTAAAATGGTAAAAGATACTGACATCGGGGTCTGCCCTGTTTCTAGACATGCTGTTTGTGCTTCATATGATGCATCGTATATTGGTGAGAACTGTGGCATCTGGCATCACTCTTGGCCAGTAGGTATTCTTGGCTTTAGTCATCCAGCCCCTTTGCTAATGGCTCAAGACAAGGTGCAAGTTCTTACCTTTGAGGATTGTTCAGTAGCAAAACCAGTGATATGCTGGAGAAGATAAAATTAGCTCTGCTGCTTGATCATTCAGGTTGACCCAGCCTAGTTTAAAAGAAGCAGGATTTCTTCTCCTATCTTCTAGGTTCCAGAGGCAATGCATGTGCATGTCAGCAACAAAAGAAATAAGATAAGGGGAGATGTTAAATGCAGAGATCTAGTTCTTACGATGAACATTCATCTTTGGCACTCTTCGAGCCTCAGATTTTATGGGTAGCCTGACAGCCTAGTCCAAGACTCTATTTTTGTTACCCTGCACTTCTGCCCTTCCCTTTGGTGGTTATTTGGCTCATTTCTTTGTTGTGGAATTATTCTAGATTATTGGGTGATGGAGGTAATCCCGCTTTGTATATGTGATCTAATTTTTCTCCGTGTTGCTTCCCAACCCCGCTTCCTCATTTCTTTTCAGGGATTTCTAGCCCAATGTACTGCTCAGAGCAGAAGTGGATTTCTTATTGAGAATATGGGAGCCTGAAGAGAAATGTCAAAACAGTACAGAAGGAAAGACTTTTCTGTGAGGTAGTTCCTGCAGCTCAGAAGGGGAGAGGCAATTCCTGATTTAGTCCTAAGTGGAGCACAGACTCTGGTCCGAGAGGTGAATATAGTTGAACTGCTTGGTGATAGCAACCATAATATAATCAAACTTAGCATCCTTGGTGTGGGGAGAAATACCAGAGAAGCCCACCACAGTAGCATTTAACTTCAGAAAGGTGCTGTCAAGACTAAATCCCCACTCTGACACTTCGAGTACAGAAGGTAGGGGCCTTCAAGGATTCTAAAAATTAATACTTGCCATTCCAGGTTTGTATTAAACTCCCAAGGTTACAGCTTTTCTCTGACCTTGGCTTGGTAAACGCTGCCACCACCCAAATGCAAAAAAAAAAAAAAAAAAACCTCGGACCCAAGAAGGAACACTTGGGAATTCCTCCCTGTGGGGTACCCTCAAGCCCTTTCACCCAAATATGAAATTGTAGAACTACTAAGTGTGGTATGTAACCTGTCATTTAAATCAGCTTCTGTACCAGAACACTGGAGGATAGCTAATGTGACACCAATTTTTTTTAAAAAGGCTCCAGAGACAATCCTGGCAGTTGCAGGCTAATAAGCCTAACTTTGGTACCAGGCAAATTGGTTTAAATTATAGTAAAGAACAGAATGATCAGACACCTAGATGATCACGATTTATTAAGGAAGAGTTAACAGCAGTTTTGTAA